TGCTATTTTTTATTTACATTCAGTGTTATTTACAAATTAAGAAGCAAATGAAAAAATACATACGGTCAGATATATAAAAATTTTGAATTAGTTTCAAGGAATAAATAATTGGATGACATGTAGTTTCATATGTTTTATGGAGTAACTAATAACAAAAATAATACAAGAGAAAAAAAAAGATAATAGTATGAGAGAGAGTGTGTGTGTGTGTAAGATAGATAGATAAATAAAGAGAATTATATGAGAGACTTAGAGTTGTAAAAAGAATGAAAGTCTAATTAGGACCATCAGGTCAAAACGATCTAAGCCGCGAAAAGTTAAGGACAAATAATTTAGCTATTTTATATATATATATATATAGATAGAAAGAGAGAGAGAGAGAGAGAGTTATATGAGAGATATGAGTATTAGAGCTAAACTCAGTTATGACCCTCAAATCAGTATTTATGAGATGACCTGAACCGTCTTTTATGTTAGGATTACGTTGTCCGTTAGATATATTTATGTTTTGTCTCAAAACGATCTGAACCTCTCTTTGTCTCTGGATTCAAACTCAGCTCTACTTTATTATATAGATATACTAGTCATTACCTGTGTTTGAAGACACTATATAATAAACAAATTTTTTTTACACAATTGCCCAAATTTAAAAAAAATGACTTAAAAATATTCATATTAATTATTCTTTTAAAATAACTTGAAATATATCGTCAATCATATCCTCCATATTAATAGAATTGTCGTAAAAATATATAAAATTTTTCAAAACAATACCATATATATAAATACCTCTAAAAATAAATAAATACTAACATAATTCATTGAAATTTATAATCTTTAAGTAATAAATAAATTTTTGCTCATTTATAAGACTCATGAATTTATTACCTTTACCACCACTCAATCAAAGAATAGAATATAATTATAAACACAATCACCATATTTCCAATCCACTCTATCCCCATGTAACAAATATCTCAAGCAAAAAAAAAATACTAATATAACGCAATTAAATTCACAATATTTAACCGATAAATAAAATCAATCAAATTTTACTAATTTATAAAACTCATGAATTTATCACCACTATTATCATTCAACCCCAAATGACGCAATAAAATTATAAATTTAATTACCAAATTTTCAATCATCCACATATAAATATACACAGAAACATACTCTCAGACATTTATTTTTTGGCTACCAATAAATCTTCCTAACCAATAACTATTTTTATTAGAATTATAATAATTCAAGTTTTTATGATAAAATAATAATAAATTAATATCTAATTAAAAAATAGGGTAAAAAATACGGACTTGTTTTGAGTTTTGACAATATTCTACGGACACCCCCTGATATTTTATAAAGAACACGGAGATTTCTGGAGTTTAAAATTTATTACACAGAGACCCCCTTTGTCTCCATTCCTTCAATATTACTAATGGAAAGTGATGATTTTATCTAAAAAAGAAAAAAAAATTATAATTGTCTTTCTCCAACTTTAGTACCCAAAAAAATTAAAATTTAATAAAATAAAATAAGATTTAATTTAGTATCCAAAAAATTGATATAATTTAGTACCCCAAAAAATTGATTAAATAAATTTTAATATTAATTTGATAACAATAAAAATTAATTTGATATTAATTCAACAAAGTTGAATATAAATTGGACAAAATTAAATATCAATTTTTGATAAAAAATATATATATATATTAATTTACAATTTAAGGTTCATTTCGTGTTGAATATTATTTGCAGTTGATTAAACCAACATGAAATTGACCTTAAATTATAATTTTTTTTTTATATAAACTTAAAAATTTGTATTTTAACCCATAAAATTTAAATACAGATTTTTTTCATAGCATAGTGTATTCTCTCTTTCTATATTATTTGATAAATTTTATTTTGGTCAAAATTCGACCACACATACTTAAATCAAACCAATTGTTCACCCCCACTTTTTTTTAAGAGAATCGCTCACTTTCACTTATTAAACTCAAAAATCTCTTGTTCACATGAAAATAAATGAAAGTAAATTAAAAGTTTTAGTACCAAATTTTTTTTATGCAATTGGTATCACTTGTTATTTTTTATTGATGATTAGATTGATTTGAAATTTTTTTAAGTAAAAAAGTTCAATTAGAATCGTCAAGACAAATATTGTTAAGAGATAGAGTATGATATATATATAGAGAGAGAGAAAGAGACAGAGAGAGAGTTATATACGTATGAGAGTTAGGTATATGAGATAGAGTGAGAGAGAGAGTTATATCAGAGATGAGAGACTTAGAGTTGTAAAATGAATGAAAGTTTAATTAGGATCATCAGATTAATAATTCTCAAATGATCTATACCGCGAAAAGTTAAAGACAAACCATCTAACTACTTAATTATATATATATATATATATATAGAGAGAGAGAGAGAGAGAGAAAGAGGAGATGAGATAGTGTGTTTAAAACTTCTAATAGATAAAAGAGAGAGAGTTATATGAGAAACAGAAGTGTTAGAGTTAAATTAAATTATGATCGTCAGATCAGTATTCATGTGATAATTTGAACCGTCTTTTATGTTAGGATTACGATGTTTGTTGTCTGTTGGATGCGTTTATGTTTTATTTCAAAACGATCTGAACCTTTCTTTGTCTCTGAATTCAAACTCAACTCTACTTTATTATATAAATATATCTTTTGATATATACATATATTACGTATACATTAATTTCACATAAAAATACAATGATAAAATATATATATATATATTTATTTATTTAAAAAAATTAAAAATAAAAATTAAATTAAAAATTTAAAAATTTTAATTAAAAAAATACTTTTCATCTTAACTAGCAGTGCAAATTTTCTACTCAACACAATGATATAACTCAAACTCGACACAAATTTTATGACACGAAATTAATTATAACTCGACAGAAACTTAAAAATGACCTGACACACGAACAAAAAGTATAAAAGACTCATAATTTTATGACAGAATACGAATTTGATACGACAAAACTCGATTGTCACCCCTAATTTTAGTCAGCACAAAAAAAAAATTAAAAAAAAAATTTGTCATTTTTATTTTCCATCCATCCAACCAAACACAAAAGAAAGAAAATGTATCATTCATACTTTTCACATTTGAAAGATAGAAAGTGTATCTCACTTACTTTTCATCCTTTTTACCAAACGGAGTATTAAATTTTTTTTTTTGTAATTTTCCGTTCTTTCAAACAATGGAATGAAACTGTTTTAAAAAATTTTTAGAAATTTTTCATGCTAATCAAATATATATATGAAAATATATTTTTGTTCACTTTCTTTATTTTATTTTATTTTTTATCTCTTTCACTTTTCATCATTTTTTCTTGCTAACTAAACGAACCCTAACAAAATATAAAGATTAAGTAAAATTTTTTTTGAATAAAGTAATGACAATGCTACGTTTGTTTATGTGATTAGGATGTCATAAGACAATTCTTCAGGATGCAAAGTAAAATTTTATAGATCTTTCAAGGTATAAAGTGTCATTCATCTTTGTCAAAAAGGTTTTTTCTTCAATTATTATACTTAAAAAAATAACTGTCAAAAAATTTGTGTCCCAAGCCAAGATCAATTAAAAACAAATCTTTGCACATGCGCCTTCTACTAAGATCAATACAATTTGTATATAGTAAATCTAGAGTAATAGCAAGTTAAAAAGTTTTCAAGACGTATGGTTTAAAATAGTGAAATTACATTTAGACATGATGAAAACACAATAAAGTATACTTGTGGCACGAATAAAATGAAAATCAATCAAAACTTTTTAATAATGAATCTAGGCACAATAGTAAAATCATTCTCCAATTCGGAAAATTTTTTGTATGAGTTTAACGCAGCATACGATAGTGCCTTATGATATAAATTAGTAGTAAAAAATTATATATATCTAATGAATGATTGACACTAATCTATTTGACAATTTTTTTTTGAAAAATATAACTTGTGAGTCTGAAAAATACGACGGTTATTTTTGTGGCAATCTTTCATTGATTGTGCTCACCATGACAAATATTTAATGAAACAGTGATATCCTGTCAATATTGTCATATAGTATCATGTCAACTAATAATATGTAAATAAATAAGAAAATAGACCCCATACAAATCAATAGCTACCCATCCATGGGTTCCAATAATTGGGTTCACTTTGGCTCTATTGGTTGGTGATAAAACCTGGTATAATGTTAATATAGTATCACTGCTGAATTAAATATTTACTCGATACTATGATGTGTTAAACAAGCAAAAGTCTACGGTACTTAAAAAAAATTTGATACTGTATCATCAATTATTATTTTTTATGATAAAATTATAACATTAAAAAGAGAAGTTACAAGTTCTTAAAGGAATGTCATAATCGATCTCAATCTTCCATGATAATCATATCTTTTAAAATTATAATTTTCAGTACATCCTGTGACACTTTTCCGTTGAACTTTTGACCTATCCCATGGGATTTAAACAAAATAAGTCTCAAATGATGGTTGATTTCAAAGTATTTTTCAAATTCATTTTCTTTTAAACATGTCAATTGATTTAACCTTTTTTGGACAAAAGATATCATTTAGTCTGACCATTTTAACATAAAAATATCAATCTAATTGACGTCTTTAACACCAAAAAAAAATTCTTTAAAAATTTAAGAAACGGGTATAACGCCTTCAAGGAACATAAGAAATGGAGTTTTGTTTTTGATTCTTGATTCGAGAAGTGAAAAAAGTTTCATAGTATACCAGAATTGAACTTTTTTTTGACATATATTTTCTTGGACAGTGACTTGAGCGGTGACATTGGTTGTTTCTCAAACTAAACGTTGCATGGCAATCTCATTGTTCACTCTCTCTAAATATTCAAGTGTTCGGTGCCATTGCTTAACCATCCATTTTTCCCATCTTTTCATTACCTTATATATACGCCATCGCCATGGCAAATCTCTCTCTTCCACTTCATGATCGAGACGCCATCGTCACCGGAGCCTCCCGACTCCCGAGGAATTGACCGAGGCATCGCAAGTTATTGGCCACGGAGCTTGAAGGTACTGGAATTACTGCAAATTTGTGTGGCTCCAGGGGCGGTGGCGACGGACATGTTTTTCGAGGGGAGAACGGAGGAGATGGTGAGGAAGGTGTTAGGGATGATTCCGGGGGAGGTTGGGGCAGCCGGAGGATGTGGCTCCGGTGGTTGGGTTCTTGGCTAGTGACCATGGTTCGTGGATTAATGGTCAGGTCATTCGTGTCAATGGTGGCTTTGTCTGAATCAGTGTGTGAAACGGATCAACAAACTATATATGAACGTTCTCTACTGCTTTTGTCCTGCTTAGATTCAATAAAATTATGCAGATTTAGGAGAAAATATTACTTGTACGGGTGGCACTGTATGTTTTTTGAATAATATGAATCTGTATGCACTGTGTCCTGTTGGGTGTATGCATGCATGGGTGGTTGCTGATCATTGTAAGGATGAGGATTTTGATTTCGGTATTCTTATATGGAGTCACTGGGTCAGACACGATACGTGAAGAGTGGTAGATTTGAAAATGAGTTTTGAAAGAGACGTTAATAATTATTAGATGAATCTATTTCAGATTGTCGGATAAATTTATTGTCATATTTTATATTATAAATTATTTGTAAAAAGCGTAGTTGATATGACCAATCCTAACCGTGTTAATCTAATCTACTAATTCCTTGTAGTGGCGAGAGCGTTTGTTTATTAGACCGATGTGTTTGTTTGGGATATAATAGTGGTACAAAAGGGTGGAATCGGGGGGAAATAGTACGTAAAGCCCATTAATACTTTATTTGTTAACTATTTTTAGCAAGGTATTAATTTGCGGATCCTAATACCAATATGATATGAATAGTGGTACTAAACTCATTTACGTGGATATATCTAATACCAACTAAGAGGTGGTATTAAAATGAGGTAGAAACTAACAATAGTATTACATTAGTAAATTATGACATTGACCATTTTAATACCTAATTTTCAAATTCAAAACAAGGGTATTAAAATTAATTTATATAAAATAAAGTTTTTAATTTTGTTGTGAGGACCATAAAAAATGTAAATTATAATATTGATCTTTCAAGCGTCTAATAATTTTAACCAAACAGAAGGTATTTTTTTTTTTGAACATATAAACAGAAGGTATTTAAATTAATTATCAAATACAATCATTAATTTTATGTGGGACCCACATACATCACAAACATCACAAGCCAAATATAGTATATGATTAAAAAAGACATTAAATTATGTCTTCCATCCCCATAGCGTTGGAGAAAATAAAAAATAAATTTCTAATCTCATCCATCCTTCTCCTTAAAACAAACACACCTGCATAGTATGAAGAAACTATGCCGACAAATGACACTTAACAATTTTGTAATCTTATGATTTATTATTGATCAATGGAGGGGGTGGTGTTGAGAGTGAGGGTGGGGGTGGGGGTGGGGGTGGGGGTGAGAGTAGATGTAGGGGGCTGATGTTTAGAAAGATTATTCAGAATCACACTGTCATTTTGTTTACATAATAGGTTTTTTTCTATTAAACTGGAGGATTTTTATTTTTATCATGACAAATATACATACATTGTAACATTAGAAATGAAGATGCGAGGCGTAAAGAAGATATACGTCATCAGCCTATTTCACTTTACATGAATATTATGTACATTAGAAAGGCAGAATGTAAGTGAATGTACAAACTGCATCAGAACTTGTATGTTTAAGGCTCTGAAGATGGCTTTGCTAGGTATTGCTGCCACTCTTCAGGCATTCCCTTTTTCTTTCTCAGCATCTTTATAGTTGAGCTTGTCAGTGGTATGGCAACTATGTCATAATCCTTAGGAGCCTACAAGATCAAAAGCAGCCTTACGACAGGTCCGTGCCAAATAAATCGATAGATAACTCATTAAAAACACACATAGATACACACACAGGCATGGCTATTGCTGTTGGTTGCTAAAATTCGATAAAAATGCTTTGTTATCGGAAGCTTGAGCTTGTTTCATTGATGATCCATTGGGAAATTCATCACCCTTTACCTTCTTGCTGTGAAAAACACATATACACTAGCATAGCTATTGCTGCTGTTGGTTGCCAAGATTCGATAAGATTTTTCATCCACTTTTCTGAACGAAATGAATTGCAAAACATATTGAATTGGAAACTAGTTTCACTAGTACCAAAGGCATGACAAAGAGAAATAGACAATACCTTGGGGACCTTCATTAGCTTCATATTTGCTTCCTCTACAGTTTTCTGGCCTTTTCTCGAGTTACATTTTTCACAAGCAGTAACCTGTTTCGTGCAAGAACTGCATCAATACAATACAGTAATCGGATTAAAAATAATTAAAAGGTACATAAAAGAGAAAATAATGGAATGACCCGAGCTTCCAATATTTATTGCTTCCAAAATTTATGGGCAACATCCTGATACTTTCAGTAAACAAAGCACTTCGACACATGATTCTGTTGAGAAACTGAGTTCCTCATTTTGTTTCCTTATTTTGTGATAGAACATGGTTCCTACAAGCTACACATATGCCATCTCCACTATTCACTTCCTAAACTGGTTTTGTATAGAGCATGAATCAGCATTGCCTCAATATTTTTTGTCAATGGAAAGAATTTAATTAAGAAATTCATTAATAACAAAATTATTATCTCCAGTGACCTCATAACTGTTATGAGCCTTGCGAGCGCCCAAAGTGCTCTACTCCGCGTTAAAGAGAAGAACCGGAAACCAATAGACAAACAAGCACCTCTTCAAAATTAATTATCTCCATATCCTTTAGTCTTTCATGCTTTGACTATTGTCTCCCTCAGATTTAGTAATATCCTTCATCTCTGATCGAACTTCATTAGTGTCAAAAATTCTGACATCAATGTCTTCCGGCCTTAATTGATGATTTAGCAGGACTAACTCTCCCATGAAGATGCACTCCAACCCCTTCTTGGCCAAGTCACTCAAGATATCTTGCCTTATTTCAACACATACCAAGCACCTCTTTAAATCTATCCACCAAGAACCACAGTTGCCCCGGGAGGGAACCAACCATTATAAATTCATTGCAGTAACATATGGTTTTTTTTATACAACACAGAATATTCCAGTAACATATGGTTAGGCATTCAGCAATCTAAATCGTCTCACCAAATTTTCCCATGTCCATTCTCCACCACGTGCAATTGGAAGAACGTGGTCAATGGTCAAATTCTCACCTGAAGAACAATACCTGTTGAAAGTAAAAATACTAACAGGTTAATCTACGACAGTAGAATTACTCAAAAGTTGATGTACATGATCTTAGTTGTAATAGAGCAAAGAATTAACATGTTATTATCACATACACCTGCTAAACTTTGTCCTATTGTGAAGGAAAATTTATAGACAGTGGCAAACTTACAACAATATGCAAATAACCAATCTCAAGGTCCCCAGCAAGCAACAAGGATAGCGAAATAGAAATCACCAAGAGACAACAGTAGTAGTGTTTATTTTTGGCAAGGTTTACCCACCTCACCAGTGAGGAAATAACATGCAGAGAGCATATCTTTCCTTCAAAAAGCTCTAAACAGTAAGGGTTTGTTTGGTTTAGGCATTAAATAGTATTGAATTGGATAAACTCATCCATCCCATACCCATCCATCCGGGCCTTGGACTTAATTATAGTGATAATATCTTCTCATCCCATGTTTGGTTCATGTATTAAGAAGCAATGGGCCCCACATATATTAAGGTACTAAAAAACCCTCAAGATATTTATATCCTAGAGATTATTTAGGATAAAAATATCTTTTGTCAAAAAATACTCCAACCGGACTACTGAAACCAACCAAATAGGTGGGTTTATTTAAGAGGCTATATGTGTGTTTAAAAACACTATTCATTTGGGCTGGAAGTATTTTTAGGTGATAATATCTGGCTCAAAGTGTGTATCCAAACAAGAGAGTAAATGAGATAAGGTAGGCCCAGACATTATTTTGTCCAAGATTCCCGCCTAATGCCTAAACAAAACACACCCTGAATAAGATGATAAAGTGTACTGTGTTCTATATGTCTACATGTCCTCTGTTGCTTGTCAAATGATGTGTGTTTGTGTGCGTACTCCATGCAAATTCCTCAGTAAATCAGAGCAAACCTACAAAAGCCATTGCCTGGTGCTAGTCTAGGCATTATAAAGGGTGTTGGGAGGGGTAGATGATACAGACCTTGGTTTTGGCATTTTAATTCAGTTTACTGAAAGAATAACTCTTATCAGAATTATGTTAAAAAAAAAAAGAAAGAAAAGATGCAAGTCTCTTTCTTTTACCGAGATCGGATTGAAAGACAACTTACGCCTTTGACAAATTTGACTATTCTCCCTGTTACTGAAAATCCACATTGAATTTTTCAAGAGAATCTCCGGGAGAGCTAGTAACCTGGTACTGAAAAAGGTGACTCCAGCATCTAGAGATCCCAAACAAGGGAAACTGGGTCCAAATTGTGGCTACTATCAGACTCCATGTTATGTTTTTCATGGCTAACAGTCCAAGCACTTTACCATCGAACCAAACGAAATGACCCCTCAACTAGTTCATGTTGAATTCATGCCTCCTACTAATATGGTAGGACTGATTTGCTCAAGACCAGAATGCTAACTTAGCAATAGAGAGAGCATGCTAGAGTTTCCTTCAGACCCAATAAAATTCGTAAATAATCCACAAATGGTGCATGAAATCCTAGCGTGATGAATAGAAGTCAAGACTTAAAAAGGAATAATATACTGCTATACTCTAACAAAATGACTCTGATGATTATTATAGGAATAGCCATTTCTTGAGTCCACCTTATTTCTCATGGGAGGAAAAGTAATAAGTGTTTATCTTTTGGGGTTACAAAGTTACAATTGTTGTACTACCCATGTTTTCTAAATATTAAAATAAACAGTTTTTCAATTGATCAAAAGGGTGGAACCCATCGGCACAATACTTACTGACAAGTGAAATCGTCGCGCTGAAGTATATTTGTACGACTAAGATTGCTTTTGAGTCTTCTTCTCTTAACGACCTGCAGTAAATGTGGAACCTGGAAGAAAACTTACAATTAATCCTACTGAGCAAATGGGGTAACTAATGAGGGGTAGCAATAATAGAACCTTAAAAAACAGATGTCCATACCCTTAAGACAGCTGGTATATAGAAGGATCCATTAGGAGAGTTTACAGTTTGGTCATAATACTCCAGAACATCAGCCTGCATAAAAACAAAGGCCAGAATTTAATATCACTTTACAAATATGCTTTTGCGTGTGGACATAGAGGTTGGAACATGTTTATCCCCAATAACTCGACAAAACTAAAGATTAAATGTAACAGAACTACTAGTAAGAAGCAATCTTGATTCCTTAACAAAAGAGTCATTAACCAATTTGCACCCTGTTAATCAAGGGCGTGTGGTTGTCCTCACATTCCAACCTACAACCTCGTGGTTGTTAGCCTGACACCTTTACCACTACAACAGGCAATGGCCACTCAATCTTAATCCCAAAATCAGAGAAGCAGAGGGAACCTAATATGTGTATATGTGGTCCTTGACATGATGAACAGCTGCAGAGATTACAGACGCCAATCAAAGCAGAAAGTGAAAATAAATAACACTCGTAAGCCAATCCAGGAGCTACTGCAGTGCGGTCTAACCTTGTCCATAAATTCCAAACAAATAGCACGCTTCCAGCAGACAACATTGACGGGCCTGGCACAATGCACTCATGGTCATTTCAATTCAAGGGCAAAAAGGTATGTATCGTAATGCATGAAAATGTGTCCAAAGTAAAAAAAAAATTAATCATTAAGACGAGTATGGGGTCTTAAACAAGCATCCAAGAAAGCCCAATCATAAAGCACCTTAAAAGGTCAGCAATATTCATTGCTACCAAGCTAGACCATGATGGAGTAATTGTGAGTTTGTCCATTAGAAATTTTCATGGGAAATAGACTCCTTTCCGGTGCTAGATTCCCTCAATTCTAGATCACCCGCCTGTGTATTGTTGTATTACAGATTCTCATGATAAACAGGTTTAGATCCCATTTATAAAAATTAGGTCCACTTGAACTTATTGCTTGTAATCTATCATTTCAGAGTTAAGTGAAAGTGTAATGGAGAGGATCACGATGAGATACAAATAAGGTAATTCAGTAAATTCAGTGTTGGAAAAGATTCGAGTATGTTATTATTAAACTGGGTACCTCCCAATATTACCTAGATCGTGAATCGTTTTAGTATGTGGTATGAGTACGTGATACGACATTTTTTTTAGGTACACGGTACGACAGGAGTAGACTTAGCTGGTACAGTATTTTATCACAATTCAATTTGAAACTCTTATATAAAACATTTTCAGGACTATACAACATACAATATCATATATCATAGAACATTTGTACACACTATATATATCACCAAAATTTAACTTACATTTGTGCTCAATTTTCTATTATCTAAAATAATATATAATTATAAATATATATATGTAGTCAATTACTATGTGTTTTATATTTGTGTTACATTATATGTTATAAAACGAATCGATTTCGGGTTAATATTATAATTTAATTGGGATCATACACATTGATGATTTAAATCACGAACTCACCCATTTGAGATCGATGTACACATGTCATGGATCGTCACTGGTTTAGGGAATTCCCGCAACTATAACTCTATATATGCCAAAGTAACAAATTAGTGATCCTTAATATCTACACCAACATATCAATATCTAAATATATATAACATAATCAGCATGGCACATTACTGAAGAAACCAAACTCCAAATATGAAATTGTTTTTTGTTTTCTTAAGAGAACGGACCTGTAAGAGATGTCTAATACCAAACCCCTGAAACAAGACAACTCGTCCTCTCAAACTCTGGGTCCTCCAATACGCCATCAAAATCACCATCTTTACTGACATTTGAGCTCTCATTTTTATTGGATGATGCTTGGATTTGCTTAAAGACGATGATGCAGCGTATAATCTGGTACTAGTAGAGCCACTGAAT